CTAGTTTCCCAGGTTTGGAATTTCACAGTCATTCTTGACTCTTTACCCCATATATCCAGTTGTTTGCAAAATCTTGCTGTTTCTACCTTGGTATAACATCTCTTGCATCCAAACCCTTCTCCTTATTCACAGAGCTAACACCTTAGTCCATGGCCTCATCCATTCTCACCAAGATTATTGCAACAGCCTCCCAAGTGATTTCCCTGCTTTAAATCAGTTTTCCTTAGGCACAGATTTCACTGTCAGTCTCCTGTTGAATAAATTCCCTAGGAAGCCTCTAGGAAAAATATAAATTCCTCCATTTAGCTTTTAAAACCTTTCACAACTTGGTCCCCACCTATTTTTCCCGCCTCATTGTATATTACTTACCTCTTTCATTCTATGATACTACTGAACTGGTGTCTCTGTTCTTGAGTGGTGTGGAATTTCATCTCTGCCTTTGTACTACCTTTTCCCCATGCCTAGAATGTAATGTCCTTTCACATATGTGTCATAGACAACTTTTCTTCCTTCAAGATACAGCTCAAGCAGCCTCTTTTGTGTGAAGCCTTTCCTGATCCTCACAATTGCTTGGGCCTTCCTCACTAACAACCTTGTATTTAACTGCTTTGTAATTATTTGTTTTTTATTCTGTATTGATGCAACTCAAGTGCCATCTTCTAAGTGAAGCCTTTCCTTATACTCCCAATAACTTGTGTTCTCCTTCCCAAACTACCTTGTGTCTAATTATTTTGTATTTGTTTGTATTCTCTTTATGTTTATTCTTTATGTAATTATATATGTGTATATATACATATATATTTGTTGTCCTTACAGTGGAATGTAAGCTTGAGAGTATGGATTATTTATTTATGTATAAATTTATTTATGTATAAACACAATACTTAGCACAATGTGTAGCATATAGTAGGCACTTAATAAATAATAAATGGTGATTGATTGAGAAAAGAATTTGGAGGCATTGGACATAATGTGCACCAAATGATGTTAGTAAAATGGAATTGGCTATGTTTTAATAGATATCAAGTGACTACTAATGTGAGAGTCCATTTTAAATTTTCCCAGTGCAGATCAGCCGTTTCTCTGCAGTGGGGAGTTGTACCCTTACATGTGGGTGCTCAGTCTAAAGGAATATAATTTTTTGGTCACTTATATTTTGTAAGATATCTTGGGGTTTAGGGCTAGATTAAAAAAATTCCTATTTGATTTTTTTTTTCAAAAAACTGGAACAATTAGCTCTTTGTCTTGCTCCGTTTTCATTTATGATTTCTTGAAATATAGCTCTGGAATAACAGGCTTTTAAAAAGAGCTTTGTGTCGGGCAGTTAGGTAGCACAGTGGATAGAGCTCCGGCCTTGGAGTCAGGAGGACCTAAGTTCAAATGTGGCCTCAGACACTTGATACTTACTAGCTGTGTGACTCTGGGCAAGTCACTTAACCCCATTGCCTAGCCAAAAAGCAAAAAAGAAAAAAAAAGAGAATTGTGTTTCAAATGGAGTTAGCTGTCTATACCTTTAAACCCAAATCACTGTGGCTTTCATTGAATGGCCAATAATAGTTTCCAACCTAAGTCTCTCCTGCACATTGTTTTGGTTTTGATAACTCAGAGTGAGTGTAAATAGCAATTGTTTTCTGGCCAGAAATTCTGAGGGTCTTCACTTCCCAAACTAATTCTTTTGCTATGGCAGACTAGGCCATCTTTTGTCTCAATTCTTACTTAGACTTTAATCATTAAATGGGCATTGCCTCAGACAGACTGAGACCTGGGAAAGACCTTAGATTAAAAAGGCCAAAGTCACCCACTGTGTCTTTGGTCAATCATCTTGATTTTTGTCTTGCCACTAGACTCCTATGACTCTGAAGGAGAGAGTGAGTCTGATGACTTTGCACAGCTCTGCCTCACTTAAATCAAATTCATGTGCAAGTGAAAACATAACCCTTTTGATGTAATTGGTCCTCTTTGAGAATGAAGGATGGACAATGTGACCATTAAAAAGGTTCGAGAGACATAGTTTCTGGGTAATTTAATACTTTTCTTAATAATGCCAGCATTTTAATAAAAGGATGATCATTTGACTCTGTCTTAGACCAAAGACCATCTTGTCTGGCAGGCTTAAGGAAGGCTTAAATGCCGTTTTGGAAGAGGAGTGTTTTTGAGGGTGGCAGTCCACTCTGATTGGCTAACAATTTCTGAGAGAATGAATATTACAATGAAGGACTGGACCTGAACTTTGATCAAGTCATTCACCTCTCAACCCCAGTCTTCAGCAGTCTATTCTAAGAATTTATCTAAGAATTTATCACACAATTTATTACACCTGGGTGGGGTCTGAACAAGAAAGTTAGTCTAGTCTCATTATTAGCAATGTCCTTCAACAGATTGAAATTTTAAAATCAGAACTTTAGGAAAAGGGGGAAACTCTGTATCTCCCCAAATTAATGGTTATTAATAATCATTCCCCTCAACAACAGCAGCTGACCAATCAATTTATTAGATTAAAGATCAATATTAAAGCCAAATTAGAAGAAAGATTATAGAAATAAGGTAGGGAATGCAATTGTGGTAACTCCACCCTGAGTTACTTAAACAAATGGGAACAAGCACACAGCCTTGTTTCACTCCATGGGAGTGCTTTTTAGTATGATGTTTTCAGTCATGTTGTCAAATGCTTTTAATGAGGATGAACATGGTATCAAGGTCAGCTACCACACTGATGATAAATTCTTCAACTTGAAAAGGCTACAAGCCAAGACCAGAGTGGAGGGAGTGTTGGTGCATGATTTTCTGTTTGCAGATGATTGTGCACTCAATGCAGCCTCTGGAACTGAGATGCAACAAAGTATGGATCAATTCTCTGCTGCTTGCGCTAATTTTGGCCTAACAGTTAACACCAAGAAAATACAGGTGCTACATAAGCCACCATCACACCATCCATGTGTGGAATCATTGGTTACAGCAAATAGAGAGGTTTTGAATGCTGTGGATAAGTTCACTTACGCTGGTGGTATACTTTCCAGGATGTACACATTGATAATGAGGTTGATGCACGCATTGCCACAATGAGCTTAGTGTTTGGGAGGCTCTGGAGGAAAGTATGGGAGAAAAGAGGTATTGGACTGACTACCAAACTGAAGGTCTACAGAGACATTGTGCTGACCTCATTATATGCCTATGAAACCTGGACAGCAGACCAGCGCCATGCCAGGAAACTGAATCGCTTCCATTTGAATTGTCTTAGCAAGATTCTGAAGATCACCTGGCAGGATATGATACCAGGCACTGAGGTCCTTTCTCTAATTGAACTGCCAGGCATTCAAACTCTGCTTCAGAGAATGCAACTCCAATGGGCTGGTCACGTTGTTTAAATGCAAAATGTACGCTTGCCTAAAAGACCATTTTATGGAGAACTCACACAGGGCAAGTGTTCACATGGTGGTCAGAAGAAGCGATACAAGGACACTCTCCAGGTCTGCCTTAAGAACTTTGGAATTGATTGTGTGACATGGGAGACACTGGCACAGGATTGCTCAGCATGGTGTCCCCACATCAGGGAAGGTGCTGTTTTCTATAAGCAAAGCAGAATTGAAGTAGCTCAAAAGAAACACAAGATGTGCAGATTTAGAGAATCCACCCCAATTGTTCACAAGGACTATTTGTGCCAGACCTGTGGCAGAGCATTCTGAGCTCATCTTGGTCTGCTCAGCCACAGTTGGACGCGTTGTAACTTGACTCTAGCATAATGATGTCATTTTGGTCCTCTTCGAGAATGAAGGACAACAGGCAACCAACTTAAAAAACAATAGTCAATGCAACAGAATGGGAAATGGATGGAAGAGACTTTGAGAGACCTCTCCATTTCCCAAAGATGAACAAATATAAATCAGTTGCAATAATGAGGATCCTAAAAGATCCCAGCACTTAACCTTGGATAGCAAACATTTTAATCTCCTTGCCAAGCAGAAACATATGACAGCCAAAGACAATACAATTTTAGAATATAAAGTCTTTGAAAATCATTTCTATGGATTTTATGAATTGCCATTTTTTGGTTTTATATCAGATATAATTTTGAATAGCTCCCCCTGTCACTTCCCCTACCCAGGAGTTCTTCTCTTACAATAAAAATTTTAAAAGGAGGGAAAAAAGATAAGGGTTTAACAGAACCAGCCAAAATATTTACCTGTCTGCCAGTGTATGCCCTGTTTTACATCCGTGGTCACCCACATCTTCAGTGAAGGAACAGAGCTGCATTTCTTTACCTCTTGGTCATTATAATTACATAGAATTATAACCTTATTTGTAATATCTAATGTAACATAACTGTTAGAGGAGAAAGTATAATTCTCTTGCGGAATAAACCAGGCAAGCATTTGGTATGGCTTCTGAGAAAAAAGGGGTTGAAAAAGTTTATAGTATTCTTACAAAGCTTGTGTATGTAACAGTACACATATCATTGAGAATGAAGCTGAGAAATAGTATATTCAGACTCAGCCAGTAATTTTTCCAAAAACAAAGCTGGGTAGAGGTGGTGAAAAGGGAGATTTATTTCATTAATAATAATTTTATTTATTAATTTTATTAATTATTGTTTCTCATCTGAGTTAATCTTTTAATATCTGTTGACAAACAGTGATTAAAAAAGGGGAGAATAAAGGATTTGTATGAAGTGTCAGCCAGAAAGCATGAAATCACATTAGGGTAATTTAATTGTGCTCTAAACTAAATCACTCTTTCATGTGCCCCCAAGAGGCATGCATGCAACCATGATATGAATTCCATTCCTTTCTCTCATTGGGTTTCTTTCTTTGATCAGTTTCCTTCTTATTAAAGAGCCTGGATCATAGGAATGTTGTGAAGAATGCTGGAGTAATTTGTGAAGAACATTGGAATATTGGAATATTTTGAAGTTGTCTAAAGGCACTGCATATTCATTCCATTGCCATGTAGATGTTGTCGTGTTTATGAAGGATGTCCTTTACTTTTCTTTTATCTTTTTGTAGGAGAGAAAGTAACCATGGAAAATCTTGAGGAGGAAAATACTGCTGTACTTTCTTGCCTGAGGACTTTGGAAAACTTTCTTTCAAAACCAGATGTGGAGGAAGGATCCAACCTGAATGTGCAGTACCAGCAGAGCATGCAAGTGAGTATATTTGGGAATTGTGGAACTATGTAGTTGAAGAATTCAACTGTACTTCAGGGTCAGCCCTACTAAAGTGGGGCCTACATAGTCAAGAGAGTTGTAGGAACCTTGTGTCAATCCTATGGAGACCCTGCTTCAACTCTGTGGCAGTACTAATTAGAGGGTGTGGGGGCCATGTTCAGAAAGGGAAGGAAGTAATGTAGTCCTAACTGCTTCATGTGTTTTTTTAATTTTCTTTTCTTCAATTAACAAAGTCTGTTTTCTCTTCCTCCTTTTCCCTTTCTATCAGTTGAAAACAAAACAAAACAAAAAACCCTTGTAACTGATAGGAAGAATCAAGCAAAACAAATTCTTGCATTGGACTTGTCTAAAAAAATACCTTCAAAAATTTGCACCCTGGGTTTTATCACCTCTGTTAGGAGGTGGGTAGCATGCTTTATCACTAATCCTCTGGAATCATAGTAGGTCATTGTATTACTCAAAGTCTTTTAAAGTAACTTGTCTTTACACTGTTGTTGTTAATGTATAAATTGTTCTGACACTCCTTACTTCACTCTGTATCAGTTTATTCAAGACTTCCTAGGTTTCTCTGAAACCACTCCTTGCATTATTTCTTATAACAATAGTTATACAGTTAGGTGCTATAGTTTGTTCAGCCATTTCCCGTACTGGAACGCCCTTAGTTTCCAGTTCTTTGCCACCATAAAAAGAGCTACTGTAAATATTTATCTACATATGGGTGCTTTTCCTCTTTCCTTGATCTCTTTGGAATATAGGCCTTGTAGTGGCATTACTAGGTCAAAGCATATACACAGTTTGTTAACTTTTGGGTATTGTTCCAAATTGCTTTCTAGAATGGCTGGATCAATTCATATCTCTACTAACAGTGCATTAATAGCTGTTTTCCTGAAACCCCTCCAACATTTCTAATTTTCCTTTTTTATCAGCTTTGACAATCTGATTGGTATGAAGTAGAACCCCAGAGTTACTTAGTGATTTGGATAATTTTTTCATATGGGTTGGATTTCTTCCCTTGAAAACTGCTTATTTACGTTCTTTGACCATTTATCATTTGGGGAATGACTCCTTTTCTTATAAATTTGAAATTAGTTCCTTCTATATCTGAGATATGTTCTATATATGAGAACCTGGGAACTGGGAATTTGCTGCAAAGATTTTTTTCCCCAGTTAGCTACTTCCATTCTAATTTCAGCTACATTGGTTGTATTAATATGAAACCTTTTCAATTTTATGTAATCAAAATTGTGCATTTTATCTTATGTGATCTTTTCTGTTTTGTTTAGTTATGAGCTGTTTATTCATTACTGTAACAGCCTCCTAGTACTAGTACTAGGTGCCAGGCGCTGTACTAACTGCAGGCATATAAGGAAAGACAAAAGGAGCTCACAATCTAATGGGGAAGATAATAATACAAATAACTGTGTACATGCAAGCTATACACAAGATAATTAGGAAATAATCAATAAAGGGAAGACACTAGAAGCTGGGATTTTATCTGGGACTTGGAGGAGGCCAGGGAAGCCAGGAGGTGGAGATGAGGAGGGGAAGCATTCCAAGCATGGAGGACAGCCAGAGAAAATGCCTGGAATTGGGAGATGGAGTGTCTTGTGCCATCTTGCATACCACCTCTAGACTGATTGAAAACAAAACAAAACAAAACAAAACACCAAAGCATCATGTCACAGGAACTTCTCTTCAGAAATGCCAGTACCTACAGAATAAGTTCATACTCATGAGCCTGTTATTTAGGACTCCACTTTGCTTAGACAATCATCCCTTTCCAACAGGGACCTTTCCCTTTAGCCAGGGTAATGGTCTCACAGTCCCTAGAACGTCCTATGCAGGCTGAGTTTCCTTAAGTTGTGTTAACCACTTCTCCCATTCCTGACCAGCAGCTGCTTGAGCCCTTCAGTGATGGTGAGGTCACTGACTTACAAGTCAGCATGCTTTATTGTCATATAGCTCTATTATTAGAAAGCTTTTCCTCATAAATATCCAAGCGTGGCGTCCCTGTAGCTCTTACCGTTTGGTCCTCGTTCTACCCTCCAGAGCTACATAAAATGAATCATATTTCCTCTTGTGCATGACAGCACTTGAGATATTTGATGGAAGCTATCATGCAGATCTGTTTTTCTCTCCTGCCCTCTATCTTTTCTCTAGGCTGGCCATCTTCAGGCTTTCATCTCTTCTGTCATATGATGTGAAATGATTTTGAGTCCCCTCATCATCCTAGTGGTCTTTCTCTGGCCAAACAGAGCAGGTCTAATCCCTCTTTCACAAGCAGCCCTGCAAATACTTGAAAACATTTATCATATCCCCCTAATTCTTCTTTTCTCCCGGTTAAACATGCCTGTTATTTTGTCTAGTTCTACAATGTTTTTGTAAAATTTTTCTCTGTCATCCTCTGAAAGATAATCTACATTCACATCGTTACAGCTGGGGGTGTCCTTAAAGGTTATTTGACCCAGTTCAGACTTTACAGATAAAGAAATAAATTCAGAAAGATGAAGTGTCTTGCTGAGGTCACATAGGTAGTAATTCGCAGTGCCAGGATTCAAAACCAGGCCCTTTGATGCTAAGTAAGGTGCTTTATCCTCTAGCCCATGCTGCCCTTCTGAAGGGTTCCATTCTGAGTCATCTGAACCCTAGCACCTTATGTGCTTAGATTGAACCACAGTGAGAAGGGGGGGGATGGTAGGGGATGAAAAATACTTTTTTCATGAATAAAGTGAGTTATTCTCTCTCCCCTGCAGGTGTCTTCTACCCTCAAGGTCTGTACAGTGAGCTTCATTCTAGTCTTTTTGCTTTTGGTTATAGGAAGCACTGCTGGATTAAATGATGTGTCTGGTGAAGTATTTCTGTTCAGGAAGACTTGAATTCAAATCCTGCCTGGGACACTAACTACCTGTGTGACTTTGAACAAGTCACTTCTGTTAGTCTCAGTTTATTCACCTTTAAACTGGAGATAATAATAGCATTTACCTCCCAGGGTTCCTGTGAAGATAAAATGAAATATTATGTGTAAGGCAATTTGCCTTAAACTTAAAAAACTATTATAAGGAAAACAGCTATGAGAATACTTCACTTCTCCCAGGAGAAACATGAGAGTTGTCCTGTTTAGCTCCAACTTCTTTTTCTCCTCCTTTCATTTTTTGTTTTTGTTTTTTTAATATTTTTTCCCCAGTTATATGTAAAGATAACTTTTAGCATTCATTTTTATAAAATTTTGAGTTCCAAATTTTTCTCCCTTACTCCCTTCCCTTCTTCCTAAGATTGTAAGCAATTTGATATAGGTTATATATGTGCAATCATGTAAAACATATTTCCATATTAGTCACAGTTTTAGAAGAAGAAACAGACCGAAAGGAAAAAAACCCCCCAAAAATAAAGTAATTGAACAAAGTATGCTTCAATCTGCATTTAGAGTCCATCAGTTCTTTGTCTAGATGTGGATAGCATTTTCATGTTAAACATAGTTCCACATTAGTCATGTTGTGAAAGAATAAACAGAGCAAAAGGGGGAAACATAAAAAAGTGAAAATAGTATGCTTTGATCTGCATTCAGACTCCATCAGTTCTTTCTCTGTATGTAGATAGCCTTTTCCATCATGAGTCTTTTCTAATTTTCTTAGATCATGTTGTCTTGGATCATGTTGCTGATTCGTGTCATTCATAGTTGATCATCACACAATGTTGCTGTTATTGTGTACAGTGTTTTCCTAGTTTTGCTCATTTCACTTTGCATTTGTTCATGCAAGTCTTTCCAGATTTTCTGAAATCTGTCTACTCATCATTTCTTATTGCACAGTAGAATAGTATTCCTTTACATTCATGTACCTCAACTTGTTCAGCCATTCCTCAGTTGATGGGCATTCCCTCAATTTCCGATTTTTTGTCACCACAAAAAGAGCTGCTATAAATATTTTTGCATATATGGGTCCTTTTTCCATTTTAATGATCTCTGGGATACAGACCTGGTAGTGGTATTGCTGTATCAAAGGGTATGCACAATTTGCTTGCCCTTTGGGCATAGTTCAAAATTGCTCTGCAGAATGATTGGATTGGTTCACAACTCCACCAACAGTGCCTTAGTGTTCCAGTTTTCCCATGTCCTCTCCCACATTTATTATTTTCTTTTTTTGTCATGTTGGCTAGTCTCATAGGTGTGAGGTGGTACCTCAGAGTTGTTATAATTTGCATTTCTCTAATCAAAAGTGATTTAGAGTACTTCTTCATAAGACTTCAGCTTAAGCACTGTGTTTGTTTCTGAGCACTACAGTTTAAGAAGGATATTGATAAGCTGGAAAGTATCCTGGGGAGGCTAACTCACGTTCATGTCATATGAAGATTGATGGAGAGAAGTGGGGATCTTTGACCTGCAGCAGAGAAGACTTTAGGGGATGAGAGCTCTCTTCAAGTTCCTGAAGGGGTGTATGTTGGACAGGGATTACATTTCTAAACTTCTTCCAGAGGGCAGGAACAAGAGTGATGGGTGGAAGATTCAGAGTCAAATTTAGGTTTGATGTCAGGAAAAATTTTCTAACCCAGAGCTGTCCAGAAGTGGAATAGGATGCCCAGAGTGATGATAAGTTCCCTGCTTCTTGCAGGTCTGGGAGGGAAGACAAATTTGTTATAGTGGGGTTTCCTTTTGTGTATGAGTTGAACTAGATGGCCTCTGGGGTCCCTTCTAACTTTCACATTCTGTCGTTCTGTGTTTCTGTGATGTCCACAGTTGGAGGAAAGAGCTGAGCAGATCCGTTCGAAATCTCACCTTATCCAGGTAGAACGGGAGAAGATACAGATGGAGTTGAGCCATAAGAGGGCTCGAGTTGAACTTGAGAAGGCAGCAACAACCAATGCCAGGAATTATGAGGTGGGTATGAGCTAGAGGCTAAACCATTTCTAGACAAGCCTCTCGAGAGAATTGGGATCTTGTATGATACCTGCCAAATAAATAAGTGCTCAGTCAGCTGAAAAATCCCACAGTGACATGACAGCATGTAGCCAGAGGAGCTCTGGGTCTGGAACACTTAGGCATTCTTCCTCTGGGCCAATTATTTAAATGGCTTAGGTAATTGGAAATGCTTCAGATCCTTGACAGTGATGAGTTGGAATGGTGACAATTCCAGCACCCACATGAGAGGAAATGAAGCCTAAATGATGACTTTGAAAGTTTTTGGGTTGAATGTGCTTATGGGTTTACTGAGCTATATTGCTTAAGTAGGCAGCCGCGTCTAGGATTTGACCTGCTGGCATTCTTCCTTCCTCTGGGAAAATAATAGAAGCATTGGCAGACACTGAGTATGTAATAGAGGAATTGAGAGAGGGAGATGCCTAAAAAAGGAAATCCCCTATCCCATCCATGAACAAACGGCACAGACTTGGGTCTTGCATTCTGTCTGAGTGATGACAGAGCCCTGCAGAGGAGCAGGCTGGGCTCTGATTCCTCAACTCCTCTGAGGTGATGTGGCATAATCCTCCTTTAGTATGTAAATCCCTGACTTGATTTGCTTTGATTAGCAGAGCAATTTGCTATGGTTTTTTCAATAAGTGCTAATCAATTTTAGCAGAAATGCTGCCAGGGTTGAAAGCTGAGAATTGGATTACAAAGCCTTGGTCTCTTCCCTCTGCCTCCCAAGCCCCATTCCTCCAAGGAAACTTTTGCTGTCCTCTCTGTAGTGAATGTTCTTGTTTGGTTGCTACCAAAACAGTGAAGATAGTCTCAGTGTGATAGTAATTTGATTTTTTAAAAAAATCCGGATGATGTGGTTCCCTGGTAATGGTTTATTATGAGGTCCCTAGCTTTCATTTAGTTTGAATTGGGATAAACTGTGAGGCCTGGACCAGGGAGTGTTATGCCTTTGTGTTATTCCCCTGGTTGGGCCTTGCTCTCAGGGAAGTTTTTTTGTAAGTGGATTTTGCTGGCACACTGGTTCAGTTTCGGCAGTTAAGCTGTGAGTTTGCTAGCAGAGTGGCTGCTGGGAGGACTCTGTGTTCGAGTATGGAGAGTGGGATTGAAGAACTTGACAACTCTCCTTGCAGTCTTTTTCCTTTGGGGAGGAGTGGAAAAGGAATTGTACTAGGAATTAGGAAACCTGAGATTTTGTCTTTTCTCTCCAACTTGCTAGTCATATGATGTTTCTCAAATCGCCTAATTTTTTTTTTTTCTTAGTATGAGGCATTTGGGGTTAAGTGACTTGCCCAGAGTCACACAGCTAGTGAGTGTTATGTGTCTGAGGTTGGATTTGAACTCAGGTCCTCCTGACTCCAAGGCCAGAGCTCTATCCACTGCACCACCTAGCTGCCCCTCATATCTCTTCTTTGGACAATACTTATTCTTTGTGATTTTTCATTATTTACTTTTGATTTTTGTTCTTTTTTGTGGGTGGTTCTTTCCTTTTACATTATTGCAGTCATTGTATATATTGTTTTCTTGGCTCTTACTTTGCATCAGTTTGTATAGATCTTTCCATGTTTCTGTTCATCGCACACATCGTTTCTTACAGCATAGTAATGTTCTATTACAATTCATGTCCCTCAGTTTGTCTGGCCATTCCATAATCAATGGGCAGCTACTCTTTTTCTAATTCTTCTCCATTATAGAAAGTGCTGCTATAGTGACTTGTTTCTCTTTTGTTGTATGGGTCACTGTGAGTTGACTGTAAGCCCACCCTATTTCTCCCCTAGACTTTATTCTGTGGAATTGAATGGAAGTTATTTTCTCTCATTTATAGAGAGAGGCTGACCGCAACCAGGAGCTTATGACCCGTATCAAACAGCTCCAGGAGAGGGAGGTGGAAGCAGAGAATAAATTGAAGGAACAAACTGAAATCAATAGGTCATGTAAACAGGATCTGGACACGGCAAACAAGAAGCTCCAGGAGAAAGAGAACAAGTTAGCTGAAGCTAATCAGGTGAGTCTTTGAAAAGCATTAGAGATCACATTTCCAGATCATAGGAGTTACAATTGGAAGGAAACTTAAGGATCGTGTTTTTATTTCACAGAGAGTTGAAGCCAGGAGAGATTAATTCACTTTCTAAAAGTTACACAGGGACTGAGGGTCCCTGTGATCTTGTAGCTTTTTTTCTTTGGGGTGGGGGTAGAGGCTTCCATTTCTTCTGTGCATGTGATAGTTCTAGAGCACCAGGGACTCTAAAACTAGAGCAGATGCTATATTCATGCTTAAATGGCTCGTCAAAGACTTTGCTATTTTACAAGAAGGAGGTAAGACTGAGGACCCTTTTCATTGGTGTGTACAGTTATTGATTCTGAAGGGAGATAAAGGGAAGAGAAATCAAGGAAGGGAAAAGGTGATGGCAAGCCGTCTGTGTTCCTTCTAGCTCTTTTCTTGATGGCTATTTGGATGCTCCCTAAAGGTTATTTTTGTCTTGGCACCGAAAGGGAGTACATTTGACATTCATTTTTCAGAATAATTGTCAGTGTAAGAAGAACAAGACTGGAGGTGGGGGGTGATGTTGGCTTGGTGTGAATGAATGTGCACCGACTCTGCTTCTGTAGTCCTATTTCTCATGGATGTTATTTTTTCTTAGTTACTGTCTGTGTGATTCTTGCTTGTGGGTACACCTCTAAAACAGTCTAAGGATCATGGGGTAGAGAAACTGGTTCCTTGCAAAGGGAGCCAGTTCATTCTTTTGTTGCATATTCTGACTGAGAAGAATGCTTTTGACACTGCTGTGGGGGAGTAAATCATAAAAATGAGAATTCAAGTGACAGATTGAAAGTGATGGGCCTTTCTTTATTGCCTCTTGCTTTGGGGGAGGGGGCCTTACCAGTCTGCCTGGCCTTTTGGATGAGTGACTCTCCCTTTGTTTATCAGTGTTTGATATCACCACATTCTAGTTTAAGAATTGGTTAACTTGATGGTCTTGGCTTTTTTTTTCTTTTTCTACCCTCTTTCTTTTGGATCCAGACCATCTGTGAGTTAAAGGGGAAAATTTCTGATTTGCAGTGGAATATAATGAACCAGGAGATGCAAGTGAAGAACTTGGAATCCCAGAAGCAGGAGCTGATGGAGCAGTTAGATGTGCAGCACAAGTGAGTATAGCACAACAGCAGCCCTTTCAGGAAAAAGACAAAACAAAACCTGAAGGGGAAACTTCTTTCATGGATTTTGCTTTCTATTGGTTAAAGAAAGGCTTCTCTTTTTTTCTAGCTGTGCATGGTATAGATCTATGAAATTTTGGATGCTGCCATTGTATAAAAATTAATATAAGTTATTTTTTCATTCTAACTCACACGTATATATACCTGGTTCCTTCCCCAGCTGTTATAAATGAGCAAAGCCCACATGATTTACTGGAATGAGGTTATGGAAATCTTATAGTATATTTAAAGGAAAAGTTTAAGGTTAAATTATTGTTACTTATTGCATTAAGGATAACTGATCTTAAACTTAATCCTCTGTTTTCTTGATTAGTAAGTAGCTCCGTAGTCTAAAATCTAATATAGTTATGTAGTAGACTTGGATTTTTTGTTTTTTTTTCATTTTAAGATTCCACGAGTGTGAGAAATCAATAGAATTATAGAATGTCAGTAAGTCATTCAACAAGCATTTATTGAATACTATGTGTCAGGCACAGTGCTAAATGTTGAGGATACAAAGAAAGGGCAAAAAATGACATCCCTGCTCTCAAGCAATGTTCATTCTAAGAGAGGAGATAACATGGACTTTTAGAGATCATGAGATCTAGTTTAGCGCCCTCAGAAAGGGGAAGGGACTTGTTTATTGTCTGGAAAACAGGAGAGGGCAATTGTGTGCCTTGAGCAAATTTGCAAATGTTGTTATTCCCATTCTTTCCAAATTAAGGTATGAACAATTTTAATTCTTTTTTTTTCCAATTTCTTTTATTATTTAAAATTTTTTGATGAATTAATTTATTCACTTTAGTTTTTAATATTCCCTTCCATAAGATTTTGAGTTTTAGATTTTCTCCTCCTCCCTCTCCTCCCCCTTTCCCAAGACAGTGTACAGTCTACATATATATTCATATTGAACCTATTTTCACATTAGTCATGTTGTAAAGCAGAATTAGAACCAATGGGTGGAACCACGAGAAAGAAGAAATAAAACAAAACAAGAGAGGAAATAGCATAGTTCTTTCTCTGGATGCGGACAGCATTTTCCATCATGGGCCTTTTGGAGTTGTCTTAGATGCTTGCATTGCTGAGAAGAGCAAAAGTCTGTCAAAGTTAGTCATTGCACAATGTTGCTATTATTGTGTACAATGTTCTCCTGGTTCTGCTCACTTTACTCAGCATCAATTCATTTAAGTCTTTACAAGTTTTTCTGAAGTCTGCCTACTCATCATTTCTTATGGAACAATAGTATTTCATTACATTCATATACCATAATTTGTTCAGCCATTCCCCAGTTGATGGGCATCCCCTCAATTTCCAGTTCTTTGCCACCACAAAAAGAGCTGCTGTAAATATTTTTGTATATGTGGGTCCTTTTCCCATTTTTATAATATCTTTGGGATGTAGACCTAGAAGTGGTATTGCGGGGTCAAAGCATATGCACAACTTTATAGCGCTTTGTGTATAGTTCCAAATTGCTTTCCAAAATGGTTGGATCAGTTCACAACTCCACCAACAATGCAATAGTATCCAATTTTCCCACATCTTCAACATTTATCATTTTCCTGTTTTGTCATGTTAGCCAATCTGATAGGTGGTACCTTAGAGTTGTTTTAATTTGCATTTCTCCATTCAATAGTAATTTAGAGCATTTTTTCATATGACTATAGATAACTTTAATTTCTTCATCTGAAAACTGCCTGTACATATCCTTTGACTATTTATCAATTGGGGAATGACTTGTATTCTTATAAATTTGAATCAGTTCTCTATATATTTTAGAAATGAAGCCTTTATCAGAGACACTGTCTATAAAAATTGTTTCCCAGCTTACTGTTTCCCTTCTAATAAACAGTTTTACTTCTTAAACAGTGGTTTACTTCAGTTTAGGCAAGTAGAAGCACAACCAGCTTAGTTTACATGTAAGTGCAGTCACAAATTAGTGATTCTAACTTCTCCTTTTATCAGTGAATTTGTACCCGTTGAAGAACCTTTAAAATTAAAGTGATTTGCATTTTTTTATTAAGTGGAAAGAAGATTTGACAACTAATCTTATGCCATTGATGATTCTATATCATTTAAAATTATTTTAAGTTTACTGAAGCCCCTTTTACATTACTGTTTTAAAAAAAATTTGGATAGCATCCATAAAGAGTATACTTCTGGATTAGCTGACAAACGTTGAGCTGCTGCTGTTTCTACCTAGCTCAACATTACTAAACAGAATTTTAGCATGTCAAAATTTTAGTTAAATTTCACAACTAAATTACTTGCAACCCTTTATAATTCCATCCATTCCAGAATTCAAAAGCCATTGTGGTTTCTTGCAAATTTTCACCTTTGTGAATGCATTGCTTTAACATCACATTAGAGGACCAGCATGTTTCAGAGTGAGTGACCTTTAAGAGATGTCTGTAATTTGTTAATTAAAATTTTCTTCTGGGTGGTGGTACTTGAAAGGAATTGAAAATCTTTTTTATTAGTCTGCAAAATTCAAGAACTACCTTATTTAAAGAAGCTGCATTCCTATTTATTTCCTTCATTAAAACCTGTGTGATACTATGTTACAAATTTGTTTTTCCAAAGAGCATTTTGTTGTTCTTTATTTGTCTTTACTCACTGTAACTAGAGTAAAGGATATCATTAAAGAAATGTATGATCAATAAAGATGGACTTGACACATGATGAGAGCAATGGTTAACTTGCATGCTTCACTGGTCCTTGAGATGTGAAGAGAATAAGGAAGGTCCTGAACACACTGTATGAGGCCCCCAAGCTTATGGGAAGACATGGACAAATGTTGTACAGAGGGAGGGCTAGGTCTGCATCGATGGAAGGAATATATACATACATACGTTACTGGGATTGTGGATTATTTTACTATTTGAGTATTTGCCATAATGTTATAACCTCAACCTCATGTATTTTTATTATCAATCTCAAATGAAAGTAATTTATGAAGGATATTTTGTGCCAATCCAATTTTGTGACAGTACATTGTATATATATGAAATGTTCATGGAGAATCCTTTCATTGACATTATTGACGTGGAAGTGTTGGACTCATCTTCTGGGATACAGCATCATAAGTATAGTTGAATAACAAACATTTTTGAGAAATGATTTCAGCTTAAATATCATTGACCCACAAACCAATAATTCAGTTTTGGATTTTATTATATAAGTAGTTCATAGGAAAATTGTTTTGTTTTGAAATTGAAGTGATTGAAAATGATTTCTTTTTGTGTTTTGTTGTGGTTATCAGTAAACTCAATAAGTAGCAAGAAAGCCCTCATTATTCATACTTCTAATTTTACAGTCAGAACTGCTGATTTTTTTTTTGCACAAAAAAGAATGGGCTCTGAAATGCATTTGAGCATTTCCTGTTACTTTTGATTAGATTGACTGATGAATATCATCATCAATAAAGTGCCCTTTCACTTTTTTTCATTGATTTCTTCTATTAAAAAAAAAAGGTATTCCAATGATTTCTCTTTACTTATTCTTAGGTGTAAGTTTTTATTTCTTGGTGACAGTAATAGATATCTTTTTTTGGGGAGCAATAGCACATTATTCTATATGTTGAAGAGAATGCAAGGAAAACAAAATTATGATTTGGTATATGATGTATTACCCAGCCAGGCTTTGTTAAATTTATAATGAAAGGTCACTTGTTAAGACCATTAACCAGTAAAGCAGGGATTCTTAACCTGGCATCCATGAACTCATTAAAATATATTTCAATAACTGTATTTCAGTCTAACTGTTTTTCTTTATAATCCTATGTATTTTATTTTATGCACTTAAGAACATTATTCAGGGATGAGGTCCATAGGTTTCACCAGATGGCAGAAGGGTACATGGCAGTCAGGTTAAGAATCCTTGCTTACAGCAAGTGACAGTCATTCATCATCCTGTCTCACTTTGAAATTGGGAAATAGACATCTTTATTGTGGTCAGGGCCATGTTCTGATGGGTATCACCTGATTTAATCATTAATATTTTTTTAAGAATGAGAGAATCTTTTAAGCTTACCAGTATCTCTTAATTCTCCAGAATGATCAAATCTTGAGAATGGTCTCCTGGCTTCCTTTAAAAAGAAGCCATCACTTCGTGAATTTTTTTTTCCTTTTTACTTAGTGAAATACCGATAGCTAGATGTCTAAGCCCTTGTTTTTGACTATTGGATGTATAGAAAATTCCTGAATTTCAGAGTTGTATATATTAAAAGTGTAATACTTTTCAGTTTTTCCAGTGACTCATGTATCTGTAGTTAACCCATTCCTTTATTGCTGTAGTGATAGGATCATTGCTGGGCCTCTTCCAGCTTTTTTCTGAAGTCCAGCTCTAGACTGTTTTTATTTTACTTTAAGTCCAATAAAAATATCCATATATGAAAGACAGGAAGTAATTAATTTAACTTTGCCTTGCCTACTTTGTAAATAATTAAGTGTGACAATTTTTTTTGTGACTACAAAGCACCCTATTTTAGAGCCTCGACTTCTTAACTCCTCTAGTTTGTATTCAGAAATACTAGTCATCTTTTGATAGCCAGAAATAAATACTTTGATTTATGACTGCCCTTATTTTATTGTTAGTAATGATCAGGTGACAGGTCAGTAACGGTGAATTGGTTATTGACAACATCATGGTATTTGCTTTCCTAATTACTTCACATCCATGGATAGTGCTTGGAAAGAGGAAAAAATGCAGATCAACACAACTGGAACTGAAAACCATCAATCACTTTTTTCTTTAATAAAAGCACTATACTATATCGATTTCTAGATATAGGGTCTATACTTATTATACTCCACTGAACATAGCAATTCTCTTCTGCTACTAGAATATAGATTACAATAAAGTACAAATTACAAAAGCATTTGGATTGCCTCATTAGGTGGTGTGGTAGGAATAGCATTTGTTTTATATTGTCTGGGATGGTTTCTTTTTAAAGG